TATATATATACCGGAGTCAAATACTCCCTGATTTACTGTCGGACTCCCTGATTTGACATATGCAGGAGTCCGTAAGACTCCCTGAAAATTCTGCCATACTAACGTTCTGAAGCGCAGCCGCGCGGAATTACCGTATTTTTTCAGCAAATGTCCAAAGAAAATTTGGCAGACGTGCAACCGCATGAATCTTAAAAATAAGCACATCCGTTATTGTTAATATCTTTAATTTTGAACCACAGACTGCGGACTCCCTCATCTTGCTGCGGACTACCTCTTTTTGGGGGTAGGGAGTCCGTTGGACTCCCGTGTTCAGAAGTTAATTTCTACCCCTGCAATAAGCCACCTAAATTTTCCAACTATACGAAAAGCAAATACACTCAAGAGGCAGGTCATGGATTCAGGGTGCGAAATTAACGAGAGTCCAGAGTCAAATACTCCCTGATTTACTGTCGGACTCCCTGATTTGACATATGCAGGAGTCCGTGTGACTCCCTGAAAATTCTGCCATACTAACTAGTTCGTTCCAGAGCACGGCCTCGCGGAATTACCGTATTTTTTCAGCAAATCTTTAATTTTGAACCTCAGACTGCAGACTCCCTCTTTTTGAGGGTAAGGTTGGACTCCCTTGTTCAAAAGTTAATTTCTACCCCTGTTGGAGTGTTATACCGACAGCGAGACCATAACGTGTAACGGAAATGAGTCTCGGCATCTCAAACACCTACACGCAGCTCATGCTACTACATGCTACAGGTTACGAGGAGTGTAATTACGGTTTATAATTAGCCAACACAAGTTATAGATATCCTCGTGGTCAACAACGAACGCATTCGTGCTGATGTCGGGATTCTGGTGCAGTGGTGCAGTACGACTGAACGAAGACGTGCGCGTGTGGGAGGGATTAGAAGGATGTTAGTTAGAAGGAAGCGCAGCAGAGCATAGTATTAGATAGAAGGATCGTAGTTGGCACAGCAGGTGCTGTGACATGTGCATGTATATATATATACCCACCCAGCAGCAACGCTCTATCTAGTCTCGCAAAAGACAAAAAAAGAAAAAAGAATTATGCGCGCATCATTTTGTGTGCCTTTGTCTCTGCGCTTTGTGGCTCCAGCGACGTTTGAGTGCAATTCCGCTCGATTGAAGTTTTCCCCTCGCCAGCATCCCGGCGTCGAAACAGACATTTCGCTCCCTCGCCGGGAGACAAAGGCACGGCATTGTGAATTTCAAGTGTTAAACGGCCGTTGCTTGCGTGTGTCGCCGTCGGGTACGGCGCGCATAAAAGCAGTCGAGAGTTGTCGTTTTAGAATTTTTGCATCGGAATGCACGTCAATTTCATGCGCTCGACAATGGAGAAATTCAAACTAGAAACTCGTCGAGTTCTCGACTGCGCAATTTCCGATGATTGTTATATCTTTTCTGTGAACTGCTGGTGATAGTGAGAGAGAGAGAGAGAGAGAGAGAGAGAGAGAGAGAGAGAGAGAGAGCGAGAGAGAGAGAGCGCGCGCGTCAGATGCTGTCGTGCAGGGATCAGCGGGAGCACGGCCTGTGCGACGCCATAGCCAGACTCAACTCTGGGCTGCTCGACATTACACAGGTACGTACATATTATGTATACCCCACCTCTCTACCACCACGAATGTGCCGTTACACCTGACCTGTCCGTCGGAGCGTCATAACCACGTCTCTCCCATGTTTCTCCCTCTGAGCTGCTTGGCATAACACAGGTACGTACGTACGTACACCACCTGTTTACCACCACGAATTTTCCGACCTACACCTGACCTCTCCGCCTAAGCGTGATAACCACGTCTCTCCGCCATGGACGCACATTACGTACATGTACGTAACATATGTACATGTACGTGTACGTACCTTACGCAGGTGCGTACGTACCCAACCTATCCACCACCATGAACGTGCCGTTACGACTGACTTCTCGGTCGGAGCGTGATAACCACGTCTCTCTCCCCCTCTCCCATGGACGTTGTTGCTAGATATGTGAAGCTAGACGTGATCGTAGCTGTTTTTCACGCGTGCGCACCGTTGTCGATTTTGCGGCACTTTGTCGCTACGCAGCGTCTTTTAGAATTGCCGGTTGTGGCAGTGAACGGCTAGAGCAATTTGTCAATCTGACTAGGTGGTTTGATTAATTGTGCTTTGTATAAATATGTTTTCGACGATACCACTGCGCACATGTAACGTTGCTAGAGTTGTCGCATGGCAATGCCTGAAGATTGGTGCAGTTAGTCATGGGTCTAAATCAGTGAGCTTGCGCACAGGTAGGAATTATTCAAGTGGTGCGTGTAGAAATTATCGAGGCATTTGGCAAGTACATAATTTTGTTGAATGTCGAAATAATGGTGCGCAGGTGAATGTCGCTAAAGTCTCACACGGTGGAGGATTTATGAATGTTAGACAGATTAATGATAAAATAACCGAAATTTCACAGAAGTAGAAAATATTTAAGTGGCACAGGTAAAGTTAATATGGGTCTTGGGCAGGTTGGAAAGACTAATGTTGCATAGGAAAGAATAAGCGAAATTTCGCAGCGGTTGGAATCGTCAAAATGACGCAAAGTATAAAGCAGTGAATTCACGGTAGGCCTTATTGAAGTGGCACACGCTGCGACTTGGCTAACCTAATGAGGGGGCGATAACAGCTGAATCGTCAAAACGTAGATGACGAATCGAATCGATAATCGAAATCAAAACCCCCAATTTATCTTTAACGTTGCCGGCGTTTTGGCCTATCGTTGTAGTTGTACGGAGAGTTTGCCGAGAGATACCAGCTTGCTGAGTGTAAACTAGCCATCGTCCACTGCGCAGGACATGTGGATCCGGTGCTAGTGGAGACGCTATGGAGAGAGATTATCGACCAAGGTATAAGCGCCAAAGATTGATCACGATTCTACCGTATATGATCGCGTAATAACCGCGGGCGCCTATAAGCCGCACCTCAATTTGAATCGGGTAACCAAGTATTGCGCCTAGTATATTTCCCCTGACGGTATGGCGCACTTATAAACCGCAGAGCAAATACAGGGTTGAAATCTGAGGCCAAATTTGCGGTTATTACGCGAGTATATACGGTACTTTTCTGTGTATCGGTAATATCGGTTGTGAGACTTTTTGCAGGGAGATTATTGAGTGAGTTATAAGCATGAAGAGATTGATTAGTATTCTAGGTAGCAATGCATTAGTAATTAATATTGGTTGCATGAAGATAGATGGTAAAGCGAGGTAAAATTACCGAACATCGATCCGTCTTCTACGCATCCCATCGCTCTCGCATCCAATTAATATGCCTCTCGTCTGCAATGCGTGTGCAATTAAATTTGCTTAATTAATAAATTATACGTCATGTTAATACCGATATCTCGGCTTTACGCCGGCACAATAGCAGCACACTGATTGCAATGCCAGCATTGTTAAATAATCCTTTGAATTTTATTCAATATGAAATCCATGCGCTTTCCTCGAAATTAATACATGCTGTATGCGTGAGTCAGTCCTTATGAACACGTGTAAGTTGCGAGCTAGGCTACGAAGCGTAGCATGTGAGTATGTTTTCGTGTATCGTCGCGTTGCTTGCTTTCGCGCAGAGATGAGAAGTGCGGTGGGCAGCAGCACACAGACGGTGATGACCACTCTCAGTAACCGACTGGTCAGTCTCGGACACCGCTATGCAGCCTCCGACCATTTCTTCCCTCTCGGTGAGTCACTGAAGCCATACCTATATATATATATATTGTGGATTAATCTTCTTTTCATCAATTTGATACCCCCCCCAAAAAAAAAAAACTACTGGTGCTAGTACGTGTGTATATGCTAGCTAGCTGTATTAACTGATAGCGACGTATATTGGTTATTTCACGCTTGAAAGATGGCAAGTTTGTTCACTAGGTGGCACCACCTACCTACGTTACTGCATACACGTTGGATGTTGCGATGTAATCACAGTGTATAAACCCATATATATAGGGGGTGAACTTTCCCGCGTACATTCATTACAATTAAGTAGTAATAGTTTCACTGAAAGTATATGTGGTAATATGTGATGTAATGTGGATTATACATACACTAATAGGTTGCCATGTTACCAGGGAAACCAACCCATTTACATCTAACCAAAGTAATGCTGTCGTGACGCTATGGCAGTGCACCGGTGTGTGTTCCCGTTAAACACTCTTACCCACTTGTGTGCGATTATGTAAGCTGCCCACATTCAAAGAGAATATGTACATGTTGATGTGAATATGTTAAAGTATTCGAGGCAAATCCGAAATTTTTACTAACGTGACAGTTTTTAGAACCTAGCTGTTGTCTATATGTCAACTGACGCTGCCCATTGCTTTAATTGACCACTAGGTGGCAGCAGGTGACATTTATCACTTGGTGAAAAAATGACGAATGCGGTGGTTACGTTTCTGACATTTATACGAAAACATAATGCGTACACCTGGAGTAACCACATGAGCAAGCAAATTCATTACAGTAGTCGATACTTGGAACATTTTGCCCTTTCTTTGCTTCACGTACAACGATCGTCGTTTCCTTTCCCTGAGCAATGGCAGCCCTAAAGCATGCTTAGCGGGAAAGCATGCTGTTGCTAATGTTAATGCTAATGATAATGTTAAATACGACAGCCGTCCAATCCCTACTTTATTCCACTCGCTGTGAAATGGTAACAGTTTATCTCGATGAATGCCGAGCCATTGTCTGCCGCGGGTGCGTTCCCCGCGCTCCCTGTCTCTCGTTCATCCGTTCCCCGCGCTCCCTGTCTCTCGTTCATCCGTTCCCCGCGCTCCCTGTC